AGTTATTTGCACATGCTTATTATAAAATTTGGATAAAGCGCTGGTATATTAATTGAGAATGTGCAGTTTTGATCGTATATCTATATTTTTTTAAATGTGGAATTTTATAAGACCTTATGTAATAATCAATTCATCAGGAGGTCTTGAGTTCTGGAGTGCTAACAGTACAGTGAACAATGAAGAGTTAAACAGATTTATTAACTGGCGCCCTCCTCGTCTTCAGGCCAGACCCATTGACATTTTGATTACATCATATGCTATATTGACCTATAGTTCTCTGGGGCGTCTTGATGAGGCTCTTCCATCTGTAAGGTGGTTAACATTACAGAAAAATGCTCAGGGAGGTTTTGTGTCTACTCAGGTAAATTTAGTTGGAAAATGCACACTTTGAACTATTTAAATACCCATGTTATGTTTGCCTGTTTCCTCCCATAGAACACTTACTTTTCACTTTTGCTCTTTCTTTGGAATAGGGTGTTTATTTTGTACAAATTTTGTTGCCTAAATGGAAAACTTCCTTTGAGTTCAAGATGTCCACACTTTGTCATCAGTTTATCTATAATTATGATATGCCTTTGTACTTTAGTGAACTGATCAATCTAATATTCTATAGAGAGCCCTGCACTCCACTGACTCATCCCTTCTTGTTGTTACCATGTTCAGGCTTTTTCAGTGCACAAACCAAAAATTTGGAATGTGCTTCCCATTGATCTGACAAATCAAATGTTATATTGAGAAAATCATCAAGAATTGCCAATTAAAAGCTCATTTAGATTTGTTTGCTTTTTTAACTGTTTTATTTTTCAATGTCTGTTATAGAGCACCTTTGAGCCTAAATTACACTTGCTAATAGTATTATAAGCCTATTATCAAATTATTATTATAATTAAAAAAAGATTTAATTGTCATTTATCTGTATCTGCTGGATTTAAATTTATTTAAGGGAAATAAATTAATTGTAGTCTTATTATTATTATAATACATCTGCAACAAGTTGAAAACAAAGCAAAAATACTTTCTTGACTGTTCTACTTCAGTGATTAGTGACTTTGGTATAGCCAGTAGTTAAAGACAATATAGGCTTAACTGATTCATAGCTTCTATCATACAATCCAAAGGACACAGTTGTAGGACTACAAGCACTTTCTACTTATGGCAGCAAGTCATTCAGGCCTGACACTAAAATTACCATTTATGTGTCAGACATGAATACACATCTGACAATGAATGTTAACAGTGAAAATGCTTTATCACTACAAATTCAAGAGGTATTATGATATTCTTATACAAAGACATTTTCTGATATAAAATTCAAATTTTAGTGATTTTTTTAAAATTATTGAATTACCAACAGCCATGAAAATTTCTATCAAATTTTATGTGTGATTGGTGTTCATGTTAATGGGCAAAGTTACAAACCATTAATAAATTCTACAAAATTTATCTTGTATGTCAGTCACTTATTTTTGTTTCCAAAACTGGACGTTTTTTTGTGTTTTTTTTTTTAACTTTCTCTAGATTCAAAGCAATAGTCAAGATTTTAGTATCACTGCTTCTGGTTCAGGCCTTGCACTTTTAGATGTAAGTAAGATTCTACGTAATTATTATTTATTTATATATTATTTTAAAAAACCACATTGCAATATTGTAGCATGAATGCAATGTTCAAATTTTAGTTTTTTAATTAGACTAGGTAGGCTTAAATGTAAATATTATAATAATAAACATGAGTATATTGCAGAGTTCATTTTACATTAAATCTTGTTAAAATATCAAATAATTTTCTAGATTGAATACAGTTTTAATGTCCTGAAAGAATTGTCCAAGCCTGTTTTTGATGTGAACACTGTTCTGTTAGATGACAAGTTGGATTCTTTTAATATAATTGTCTGCACTAAGTAAGGAAGTTTTTTAAAAATGTATTTTCATTGAGCACAAAATATCTAGGCTTGTAGGTCCAGTGATATCCAATGGTACATGCTAAGTGCCAAAGAGAGGTAAATAGTTGTCCAGGTAGGTTACATAAAAATTATAGAACTAGATGGTCTGATGATTAATTTTACATCTATATTTTACTTTTATTTTCAAATTAAAAAAACTTTAGTTTTAGAATCATTCTCTCACTCCCTATTCCAATACTAATTCTAAACATTTTTTGTGGAAAGTCAGAGAGAAAGTTTAGTATCAAATTTGTAACTAACAATGTAACATTTATTAACAGAATTGTGGCAGGTACTGCATTAACACAAGCGCTACTCATCTTCAGCCATTAGATTTATGGTTATAATGGCTGTCTGAAATTTGTTTCACTTGCCTTTTTTGTGTGAAAATAACAATAACCATTTTGATACATGTCACTATGTCTACATTTTCATGTATATACCATTAGTGATGAGAAATAAACTAAATTTTTTAAGTTTAACTAAAACTAGTTTTCAACTAAAATAAAGTAGTTCAATTAAAAGTTTATCATGAATTTCAAAATATAGTTAAACTAAACTAAAAAATATTAATTAAACTAGAAATTTTTACCCATAATAAAATCAGTAATAAGGAATATATTTCTTACATAGAAGTTAATGCACAATAAAATTTAAAAAAAAAGATGTCTAAATAAATATGTGTGCTTGTATTTTTGCGTTCAATTATAACCTTTAGAAAAGAATGGTAGGCTTACTTTTTAAAAAATTCTATTTATTATATTATTAATGGAAAATTTTAATTACTTATACCGGTAAAGTTTAAAATCTCATTAAATAACATACAATTAAAGTTTAAAAATGAGATCTAGTAACCAATAAAATAGAAACGAAATTGTTGGAATTTAAGAAACATTTGACCTGTATAACTATTTTATAATGTAAAATACATGCCATTTACATTTTCATTTGTCCACTATCTTTCAAGTTAGATCATAAGATCATTCTCATTGCAATGTATTAATAAAGCGATATTAATTAAAATAAATGCAGAGAATGAAGTTTTATCATATCATTAGAAATAAAGGTTATCTTTAAGTAATATTACACCAAGACTCTTTTAACACATTTGAAAGACATAATTTGTTTTCTCTAAAAATATCTTTAATTATAAAGCAGTCAATATTTCTATAAAATTGTGTATTTGTGAAAGATAAATAAAAAGAGATAAATGGTTTAGTAATAATCCAGTCAACAGTTCTGAAATATCTTTGTTTTTACAGCCTATGTATATTCATAATTTAAAACTTTAGTTAAGATTTAAAATCTCTTATGACCATAATTTAAGCATAATAAAAATGTGAACGTTTTTGCGACTATTTTCCTTTAGGCACTAATGGTTTTGTTATAGGACAACCGTTACAATTTCAAGGCAATATCTATCATTGTTTTAGTTTTAAATAACTAGCAAGATCTTTTAAAGCCACAGTGTTTTATTTCTAGATTTTTGATGAAGCATGATACAGGCATGGTTGTCCAAGAAATTAGCATTCCTTCAGGATTTGTGCCAGACCTAAGTAATTTGGGACAAGTAGCAGGTGTCAAGAGATCAGAAAGAAAAGGCTCTATCGTAGCAATGTACTTTGACAAGGTGAATTATATTCAAATTTTAAGTAAATTCCTTCCTTGGCCATAACCTTTTACCATAGGCGTAGACATGATTTTAAAAATATTTTTGGTGGGGGCACTAGCGGGTTCAGGGGAGATTATATATATACATAATTGACTTTAATTTCATCCTGTCACCTCACTTTTTTAAAAGTCTTTTGTACCATAGCGTATGTTCTTTCTGGAGTTCAGGGAACGACACTAAACATTCTTTCCTTGCTCCGGGTCCTCCACAAATTATTTCCTGTATTTGAAACTAAAAAAAATCATATTCTGATGTGTCTACATTGCAATTCAGAGACTAAAAATACTTCAGTTTTCTATTAGAAAAAAAGGGTGTTGGATAATTTCAAAACCCCTTTGTAGCTTCTTTTATGCTATTTAGAGACTGTAGCGTTGCTTTTCTTTTTATTGGAAGGGGCATTTAACCTGAAAAACTCCTTGGCTACATTTACAGAATTTATAGAGCGTAGTTTTGGTTTAGTTTTTTATTGGTGGGATTTAAAAACTCAACCCTCCTAATGGCAGTTGGTGACCGTTGTTTGCTTTAGTTTTTATCAAGGAGGGCTTCAAACCCCTGAAGAGAGTTTTTAACTCAAAACACCCTTTGGCTATGTTCATTGAATTTGTTGTCTATAGATTACTTTATATTTTTATTGAAGAGGGAGTTTTTAACATCAAAACTCCCTGAAGGGGTTGGTAGGGGATTATAACTTATGGAATTTGGTGACTATAGGTTGTTTTATAGTTCTTATTAAAAAGAGGGAGATTGAAACCTCAAAACTTCCTGAAGGGTGCCCCCTCCCCACCCGAGCAACATTTATAGGATTTGGTGATTGTATTTGCTTTAGTTTTTTTACTGAAGAGGGGATTAAACTTCAAAACCCACTGTATTAACATTAAAATATCCCCTCTAATAAAAAATAAAGCAAAACAACATTCACAAAATTATTTCATTTTGGAGCAATAAATTGAACCATGAATCTCCCCCCCCCCCCCCCCCCTCAGGCTACGTTCATGCTTTAAAAAAAAATTGTTGATTAATCAATTTGATATCAATACAATTAACTCCAAAATATGTCATAATTTTGAACATTTGATGTCTGTCAATAACTTTGCATATGTTTTTCTTATATTTCTATGTTTTACAATGAAACAGATCAGTGGGTCTTCTCTGTGTTACAGTATTGTTATGACCCGTGAAGCTAAAGTAGCTAAGTCCCAGAAGAGCTATGTCAGAACCTATGATTATTATGAACCAGGTAAACTGAACATTTTAGGGTTTGGCATTAAATTTGCCTACATGTCAATATTCAAAGAAAATAAGGTCGAATGTTCTTTGCGTTAAAAAAGAATAATTATTTAGAAAAAAGAAAAATAAGAAAACAAAACTTTATTAGAACCAAAAGAAAACAAAACTATTTATTCCCAACATTATGTGAACATTGAGTACTTTATATTCCATTGTGTTCTGTGCTCTATGATACTCATTAAATATCAGCATTTACTTTATTGGTCCGTTACATTAGAGCTGATCATCCAAATTGAATAATAGTGTACTGAAATTGGCTGGTGAAACAAACTAAAATAAAATACCTCTTTATTGGAAGTTACACTTTGTCCTTAATTTAAAAATGAATTTTTCACAACTTTTATAATGGTCTTTTTTTATGTTGTTGTTTTTTTAATAAAAGCTAATCAAGCAACAGTGTTCTATCAGCCTCGAGCTTTAAGAGACTCAACTGTCTGTGATGTTTGCCCCAACTGTTGCCCATACATCGTGCTAACTACTAAACAGAATAAATCATTATTAAACTGTATAGAGGTTGTTCTGTGTTATTTAATTTTAACGAACAATGTTTACAATGCACACTTCTGTAAGGTGTATATCAAGTGAAATAAATATAATATCATGAATATCAAATGCAAAATCATTATTTGTAATAAAAGTATATATCCAATAAAATGAATACCTTCAAAGATTATGCCATTTATATATTGTGCCTGAGCATGTAATTTCACATACAAATATTGACATTTAAATAATGACATTAAAATAACTAAATTCAATTAAAAATAATGGGCACTGTAATAGATTGCACAAGATCAGCACTGGCCAATCACTAATTCTCCCATTTCTGCATGATTAAAAATTCGAAATCTTTAGCTTTTAATTATTTACCATGAACGTGAAACAGTCAACACTTTTCTCTTTTAAAATTATAATATAGACCTATATATATATATATATATATAAATCTTGTCTTCCGAAGATTGATGTGGAGTGCAGTACATCGTAGAAGATGGTGATTTTTAGAAATCAGCTGCTAGCACACATTGCACAACACTTTTTTTAGGGGGGGGGGGGGAGTATAGCATACTAGAATTCATGGGCCAAAAGTAGTGTGGGGAAGTGTTTTAATGCATGCCAAACACGAGTAACATGTATGTCTGGTAGCTAAGATTAGAATTCAGACCACTTCTAGAGTTTACTGATCCTAAAATTCCAAGTTTTTGAAAAGTGAAAGTAGATCTAATCCAATGGCATACATGTTTTGTAAAGTTTGTTTGAAAAAATATCACAGTTCAAAGTATCACAAATAGTAATATCTATGTAGAAATATTTATAAAATATAGACAATGTAATTTTGTAAATAAACTGGTCAACACAGATGAAGCCTTAAAGAATCCAGTGTATCAAGAACTCCTTTTATTCTGTTTGTTGTTTAGCTTCTCAGACAAAGCTACAGGCATAAAAGGAAGTTTTTCTGGCGCAACATACTGGACCTGAAGAGAAATTAATGTAACATTTTTTGTACACAGCTTTTAGGCCTAATTGTTGTTGAGCTCTCTAATAGAACACATATTTACAACTAGTCTGTCTTTATAAGGATGATATAGTTTTTAAAATTCTGCAAATATTTATTTTTTAAAATAATAATAATAATTTAATTTAATTGTGCTGTTAAAAAAACTTAATGAAGAATCAAAACGTTTTGACGGAGCAGCGCTGTTTTGAATTCACTGCAACATGTTGACCTAGTCATTAAATATAGGCCTACCAGCCATTGTAAAAATCAAGGTTGGATAAATGCCACAAGCTCGTTTAGATAACTCTGTGTACTATCTTATAAACTACAAACGTTCCTTCTAACGAGAAATAACTACGTCCTACATGTATATATGTTTTAATCTTGTTTCTTCACCTTCATCTATCCCTAAGTCTGTTGGACTCTTGGGGCACCACGCCAGAATTGTCCACTGTCTTTCTCCATTACTCTGTCTTTTGCCTTGATAGAACCACCTTCAATGTCAGGCCTGTCCATTATTTTAGGTTTTCTTTCCAATGCTTTTCTCTGTCTGCCTCTTCTTCTTTTCCCTGGTACTGTTCCCCGAAGGAAGGTCCTTGTAAACCCCGAAGACCTTGTAATATGACCGTAGAGTTTTAGTTTCCATTTTTTAGTGGCCCCCGAAAGGAGTAATTAAAGACGCTACTAGTTTTGTGTGGAATGTGTGTCTGTCCGTCCGTCCCGTTTAGATCTCATAAACTAGAAAAGATAGTGAAAATCCGACACCATAATATTTTAGACCATTCAAAGTACTGATGCAACGGCTACTTTTTCTCTTTTGTGAAATCGAAAAATCGAATTTTTAAAATCGTTTATGCAAGCAGGTTTTTCATAAAATAAACCAATTTTACAACTATTCACGATTAATAGTAACAACCACGGGAGGCGTTTTAATAGGGGTAACAATAATCCACCATATTTTTAACACATGCAAACGGTTTTAAATTTTTTATAAAAAAAATATTTTTTAACAAATGTATTTAAAAGTCAAGTAAGTTGTGTAATACTACTATACATTAACTGAAAAATATTTTTACTTTTTTTAAAGAGAAAAAATCTATTTAGTATACATACAAGTTGGACATAATTTAAACAATAATTAATAAGTAGTTTTTCATATTATCCCATGAACTACAGAGCTGCGCTATTACCATAGAACACCTAACTAAAGTAATTTTTTTTTTCGGAAATGTTTTTTTTCTTAAGGAATAAGAGATTGGCTAAAAACAGTTAGATCAATTAGATATTCATTATAAGACATCAGAAAGGCCAGATTCACATCTAACTTCACATTCACTTTCACCTATCCTTTGGTCTGCTGGCACCACACAAGATCTATCAACCTTCTTTCTCCATTCTTCTCTGTCATTTGTCTTTGATAGAATTTCATTCTAATGTTCTTTCTGAAAATATTGAAACCTGTCTTTTTACCTGCCTGGGTAGACCACTTCTGGCGCCAATTATGAGTTTGTGTTTCTACACAAACTGTCTTTGTAACCTTGTTTTTAATAGTTAGCATTTTTTCGTCATTCGTTTGTAATTCTTCTGTAGCATCTCTATTCCATTGCTAGGATCCTCCTCCCTAGCTTGAAGTCAGTGTCGAAGACCTTGCGTTTACTCAAATAATGCTAAGATAATTGTATTCCTGGCTGATTCCATGTTCTATAATATCACTAGAGAAGAAGGAGAACTTTTAGTTTGTTAGAACTGGTCTCATTTACGCAGCTGCAGAGACTCTTGCAATGCTGACCACATTGTACGTCGGGTCACTAGAGATTAAGAAAAGATAACTCCAGGAGTACAAATAATAATGATAATGTAAACTTGGCTATTTGTGACGAGAATTAAGTCTGGAATCTCCACCTTTGTTTCATGCGCTGAGTTCCGTTAGAAGTGCTACATGTTGTGTGATGTTTCAGAAACAAAATTGGATATCCTTTAGTACTTTAATATTAACTTAATAGTAGGCCTACTTCTGATTTGTTAGTTCAATATATTAGCATCATAGTACTGAAAGACTTTGTATAAAGAAAAGTTGGTTGTGAAGATGTAAAGAGGCCAAGCAGAAAGCATTGATTTAAGTACAATTTTTAGTAGCACCCTTAAATCTAGGATTAAAAGTGATGATTATGCATGAAGTATTGGTTAGTGTTGGTATGCATTAGATAAGAACACTAGACTAAGAATGAACTGACCTCTCTTTGGTGAATAATATCTGCTGCCTCACTGGGCAACATAAACCATCTGAGTTCATCTGCATCTCCCTTGTATTCCAATGTCTGATCACTAAGGTCATATTGATTGGGCTAAACAGAAATTAGGTTTATGATTGAAATCATTAAAATATAAAAATATTTATAGAAAACAAAGGCAGCTTGAGTTCATTAAAGTTCAAACTAAATTGTATATTTTTCTACTTCATGAAAATCAAAACACATTTATGCATATAAAACAATGTCTACTATAAAATCAATCTCTAATTTAAAAAAAACTTACTTTACTGACATCATTTAAAATGTATGTAGCTCTTTCAATAATCTCCTGTTGATTAAGAAAGTAATGTCATTTTTTAATTAAAGTAAATGCCTGATCTAATTAGTCATAAGTATAGCGTAATAATCAAGGCTGTCTCAGTATTTTCAATGCTTTTGTTAAGTCTTCTCACCGAGCACAGTCGACTCGCAATGCAATTTAATGCATTTTATGGGCGCTTTAAAAAAGGCATAGCCAAAAGGTTTTCTTTTGTTGTGACCAAGCGTCACGTGATTTTTGCTGAATATGCCCTCTAACAGAATGAATTATGCATACCAAGAGTTGCAGTAATACTGAGACCAGTACAAGGAAAGCGCAAACAGGGATGCCCTTGTTTATCATAGTGTCACACCTTTATGGAGAACCTGCAAGAAAGACAGCTTGCCGGCGATAGAAGTTAACGATGCGGGAGGATCTAAGCCTAAGGAAGTAACTACAGCTGTACTTTGTGTTAGTTATGAAATTTACAAATTGTAAATTGTATATTTTTCTTATGTGAATTACAATTATACATTTATAGTGAATTAAAAATTAAACCAAAGACAAGATAAAACATATTTACATCATAATCCAATCCAGGGAATCTCTTAAATATTGGTGTATCTGTGTCTTTACATCTCACTTTACTGCTTGATGATTTTATGTATGAAAATTCCTTAGAGAAGCTGATATCTTTAAGGCTTTTGTCTGGCTGAAATGTCTGTCAGTAAACAGAAAACAAATACAATTTAGAAACAATAAAAGCACTGAGATTTTCAGGGAGAATGTAGCTAGTTCTAAAATGATTGCTGAAACTGAATAGCCCAAAAATGGAAACTAATTAATAAAATCTTCAAACATACCTGCGCTTCTCTGTACCACCATTGACCAGTTGTTCTCTCAAAGTCAAACTGTAATGACGTAATTACACATTTTCTATTTCATTTTAAAGAAGACAAAAACAAACAAAAAAATAATCCTATTTCTTTGAACTTAATTATTTTAAGCATCATTTCATTCCGACAAAGGCCACATATCAATTCTTTCCATGCTGGACATCCGCAGCCTTTGATACACTAGACCATGAAATTATGATGGCCAGATTCTCTGCAACTTTTGGTTTAGCAGGAGTCGTCCTAAAGTGAAGATCCTATCTGACGGAACGCACCCAAAGTGTCGTTGTTAGCGGGACGGAATCAACAAGCTTACTTTTGAAGTACGGAGTACCCCAAGGATCAGTTCTAGGCCCAGTACTGTTCACTATGTACACATATCCACTCAGCGGTGTCATACGGCCAACCGGCATTTTATACCATTTCTTTGCCGATAACTCACAGTTATACGATTCATCAGTAC